AAAGATAGAAGTTCATTCTTACGTTTAGATTCGTAGAAAGAAGGCCAACAATACGAGGGGGGGCCTAAAGGCGGCCTAAAGGCGGGCTAAAGCGGGCCTACGGCCCCTTTGCCGGGGTTATCTGAACCCCCCGTAGGCCCCCCAATAGTAAGCAAGTCTTAAGGTGGCATATGAGACTCATGAGTTAATGGAGGGAGGGGCTTAAAGCCTTGGACAGGGATTGTCTTTTAGACAGAGCCTTAGGTTTCTAGGGCAGGATTCAAATCATGAATAAGTTGTCAGGGGGCAGAGTAGCTGGATCTTATCATTAAGATGATTATTCAACCTCACCCTTACCATCTAGTAGAACCTTCCCCTTGGCCCTTAGGGGCATCCTTCGCCCTTCTTACTACTACTTTCTCTGGGGTGATGAGCTTCCATGGGGTAGCCAACGCTGGACTCTTTTTAACCTTAGGAGTTATCGGCACCCTCACTACTATGGGGCTATGGTGGCGGGATTGCATAGCGGAAGGCACATTCCAGGGTCACCATACGAAGCCAGTGCAACGAGGGCTATCATTGGGAATCATTCTATTTATCGTGAGCGAGATATTCTTCTTCTTATCCATCTTCTGGGCATTCTTTGATTCTGCCTTAGCTCCTACTGTGGAGCTTGGTTGTGCTTGGCCACCCGCAGGTATCGAGCCTATTTACCCTTTTGAGTTGCCTCTTCTTAACACTATTCTGCTTTTATCTTCGGGGGCTTCTGTAACTTGGTCTCACCATGCTCTTATTGCTGGGGACCGTAAAGGGTCGATACTTGGTCTGGTAGTTACTCTTATCTTTGCTTTGATTTTTACAGGAATTCAAGCATATGAGTATTATAATGCAGGGTTCACGATTAGCGATGGTGCATTTGGCACATGCTTCTTCTTTTCTACTGGCTTCCACGGCGCGCACGTGATAATTGGTTCTATCTTCCTTACTGTTGCTTTATTTCGGTTAATTAACTATCATTTGACAAACCACCATCACGTTGGTTATGAAGGGGCTATACTTTACTGGCAAACTTAAATGCCGTTCTAGCTCACTCCTAAGAGCTTGAATTCAAATTAACTGTATGCAGGAATCTCCTGACTCCTTAGCTAGGGTAAGCCTAAAAAGGCTAAAGATTGGAGTTGGACAACCCGCAGGTTACCCTTAAACCAGTGTGTAAGGAATCCTCAGAGACTATACGTTAATTAAGGCGGGCTGCTATAAGATATAGTCCACCCTTTTCCAAAAAGGAAAAGCCATGGTGATTTCGTTGATATCGTATGGGTATTCCTTTTCATATTCGTTTATTATTGGGGGGGTGGTGAACCCCCTGTTATCCAAAATTCCCCTTTGGGGTTGCCTTTTTTTCTTGTCCTATCTGATTGAAGTTGTTTAAATCCCCTGCTACCCAATGTACAGCTCTAGTTATTGATTGTTCTAACCTATCTTCAACCATTGGGTATTCAATAACCAAGTGGCTCAACTCCTTGGATTAATAAGCAAAGGTAAAATAAGGGTAAATCTTAGGAGTGAGTTTGGCTAGGCTAGGGGCTAAAGCCCGGGGGGTTTGCACAACAAAAGACGGCTACTACTCTAGCTAAGAGGAAGGGAATAGCCCTCTGTGACTGCCGTTTACACTGCTAAAGAGAGAAGGCATGTGGAGATTAAGGAGCAACTTGGTTAAATCAACGAGTTAACCATCACCTTCAACCTTTCACTCCTCTCTTAATCTTAAACAAGGTGATTTTTTCCTTACATTGGAAGAAGAAAGGATAGTTAAGACCAGGTATGGTTAAAGGCTCTTTTAATCCAAAAGAAAGAGTTGCCTTAGTAAAGACTACTTTCAGGCAGGAGATAGGACAGATTCTACTTAAAAGGGGAGGGCAAGATTCTTGTTATCGAAATAGGTAAGGAGCAGATGGCCTTTTAGTTAGAAGGAAATGAAAAGAGGGAATCTCCACCTAACCCGTGGAGGTAGGATTCCCTTAACACCCTTTAAGGGAAAGAAAGACCAGATCAATTTAGAAGGCACTTGGGATGGAAGGGGAGTCTTAAGAGGTCAATTAGATAAGCAGGTATTAGAAAGGGGAGATAGGACCACTCGCTTAAGGATACCGATTAAGCTGGTTACGGTGGGATTCGAACCCACACGCACTTGGCACTGTTGTTTAAAAACAGCAGGGCTACCATTTTCCTCACGTAACCTTCCCTTAATCAATCTCATTCACTCCTTCTATCCCTCCCAATTCCCCTCCCTTCTACCGCTTCCACCTCCCTTTTTTACTACGCGATAAGGGAAGGGCATGGTAGCAAGGCGTGGGTTATCAAACGATTTCCTCCGGCGATAAGCTTTGAACCTCTTGCTAGCAACCCTTCAGAAACTACTCCCATTCGTTGAGTCCCTTAAACCAATTTACCACGACTAGTCATCAAGCCAATCCCGCCAACACGGGCTGGCTCTCGTAGTCAAGGGCCTTATTGACAAAACCCTGCTATGGTTGCTTGCTATGCTTGCTATGCTTGCTACCATACCAAGCATACCAAGCATAAACAGGGGGAACTTCATTATGTTTAAGGCATACGGGGGGATCCATAGGATCCCCAACCATACCAAAGGCAAAAATTGGCGCAGCTAGGAAGGGGTCAAAGGCTCTTGCTTTTTCATGCTATGGTAGCCGGGGTGGTAGTTGTTACTGCCCGGGATCCAAAGGATCCCCCTAAAGCCCCGGGTTAAGCCAGCCCTCTGATTACATCTGCTATCGCCGTTGCCTCTTTCTCGAAATGAACGTTTATGTTCTTCTACTTTTCCTTGATTATCCCTTCCTTACCTTTAATTTGCTACCTATTGCTTTTGCTTGTGTTAGAGTTGTTCCTTCTATTCTACTTGCCTTTGATATCTCAGCTTCCAAATTCCTCCCTATAAGCTCGACTTCAACTAACACGACATTAAAGTTAGCGAACGTAAAAATCCCGTGTACAGGGAAGGAGTAAAGAGGGAAGGTTCACCGGGTCCTTAGCCTTGGCTGAAGAGGTAAGGGCATCTTGGATAAGGGTCATAGTAACCGAAGGAATCAGAGGCAAGGTGGAATCGAACCACCAACCTGACCGTTATGAGCGGAATGCTCTTCCGTTTGAGCTATTGCCTCCCTTCTGGCAAGGTAGAGTATCATACCGACATGCTGATTCATTACTCCATTTAGCCAGCTGTAGAAATGGACCACGTCAATAACGAGCTAAAGAGGTACGAAGGACAATCGGTAACGTTTACCATTGAATAGAAAGTGTTCAATTTCATACTGCATACCAATACCACGGGCCTTACTTGCCTTGCTAGCATGCAAAATAAGAGGGTTCGCTTCATATGCATCAGGAAAAAGGTACACCTTTGTATCTAACCCTTAGATTCAGCCCCTTTAGAAGAAGTAGAGGTATGCATCTTGACTATAGCAATTAGAAGATGAAGTAACATACTAAGATTCAATAGCATAAGAGGATGGAGGTATCATGGAGGCTTACTCATGGTAAAGCCTTGGAAAATCAGGTTCAAAGATAGCAAGGATAACAGGGAGATTAACCCCTTGAAGTAAGCAATAGCTTTGGTATTAGCAAAACCAGCGATAAGGGCAAGAGGTGTAAAGATCAAAGGAAGATTAACAGAGCACAACTCAATTCCCCTAGGATAAGATGAACCAAAACATCTGTTCAATCAATCCTAACATCAGTTAGGAATAAGACTCACTATTAATCACTCTCACCTTTAAGAATCCCTATTTAGATAGGGAAAAGGGAGCAATCTAACCGCAAGTCCATTCAAGGGAGGGAGGAACCCATAATTAAAGGACATTTTTATCCAGGGGATGCTTTAATAACTAGAAGGGATAGTGACAGTTAAGGGAGTTAAGCCTTGAAGCTACTCCTAAGTAACTTGGCAATTCATATTGGGGTGATCCATTTGTTACCCTTTAACTTGAATTACCTTATTCATAACGGGCTTGGTTGGTCTCGATCCAACATCTTCCAACTTGACAAGTTGAAGCTTTCCCATTAAGCTACAGGCCCAATGACTTAAGCAAAAAAAAGGGGTTTGTAGCTTTTAACCTGATTTTACCCTTATTTTAACCCAGCAAGGAGGTGAGTTTACTCTATAACAAGGAGGACAGCTTATATGAAAGGTAAGGGTAAAGAAGAAGGCATTCTACCTATCTATCTCTGCTAAAGTTGGGTTAGGGTAAAGTAGGTTAATCTAATGTCTAGTTTTTGGGTCAAATGTGGCTACTCTTTACTAGAGGAGGCAAGTTTAGTTACTCTCTTAAGAAGGAATAAGGGTGGGGGCTTCAGAGAAGCCCGGCCTTTACCCCACACGCTTGCTAGGAACAAAGAGGGAATCTTTCATAGAAGGAGCTTACTTACTAATAACAAGGGTTACTCTTCTAAAATAAGGACCTAGTAAGAAGGAGGGAGTGTGATACATGGAAGGAAGCCTGTAGGCTAACCAAAGCTGGAGCCGGTATAAATAAGGAAAGAATCACTGAATCATTTAGCCACTCTTCACCTTTGAAGTAACCAATAAAATGACGTTAGCTTTACAGCCGCGATTAAGGCCAAAGGTGTAAAGATCAAAGGAAGATTAACAGAGCGCAGGTAAAATCCCCTAGGAGAATCAATAGGGATCTATACTTTGAAATGTAGTTAAGGAGAACTTCTTGGATACCTCGATTAAGAGGGTTTCTTACATTATCTTGTATGGTTTAACTAAGAATCTCTTTCAGTCGAGGGGAGTTAGCTCATTTAAATTGGTGGCTCATAATAATCTAGTGAGCCATGAACCCATTTGAGGAGCCACTTCAGATTCTTCTATCTGCCAGCTTATGGCATACCTAGATAGGACAAAACACAGGCTGTTAGGGGAATTTTATGACACACAGATATCTGTTAGATCAGGGTGCTCTAAAGACATAAGACTATAGGGCCGATGATTGCTAGCAGTAGAATAAGCCCAACTATAATGAGCAATAAGGGGAAAGCAACATATAAGGCCAAACCCAAAACATGGAGATGCTCAATTAGGTGAAAGGTAGAAGACCAAGATAAGGTAGAAGAGAGAGAGGGAATAAGGTGGATCAGATTAAGAGAGTCAAACCAAAAGGGTATGTTGCACTGGTTGAGAAGAGAAATCAAGGAGGCTAAAAGGGAAGAGGCTAAGATAGCGGCTACAGGGAAAGAGACCGAGGGAAGCTCACTTAGGTCTAGCAGATTTAAGTCCATCATCATTACCACGAACAGGAATAGAATGGCTATAGCCCCTACGTATATGATGAGGTAAGTTAAGGCAAGAAAGGTAAGTCCAATAAGAGCAAGGTAACCGGATACGGTTAAGAAGACTCCAATGAGGAATAGGACACCTAGGATTGGGTTATCCGCCGTAATAACAAAGATAGCAGATACCAGAGCCAGAAATGGCAACAATTCAAGTAGGAATAACCTCAAGTAAGTATCATTATTAGGTAACTTCTTGGATATCTGATGAATCAAAGATTTGGATTTGCCTGTAACTGGGTGATTTCACAAATTGTGAAAGCAATACCTATTGCATTCTAAATAAGGCTCTAAAGCTAGGCTTCAACTAAGGCGGGGGGGGTTCAGAGAAGCCCGTGCTTTACCACCCCCCCCTAGGAACTTTAGTCAATTAAAGAAGGATAAAGAACGGAATCTTGGAGTAGGTTAGGGGCAATCCTTAAAATGAAGGTAAGTAGAGCCAAAGGAAGAACGAGATCAAATTAGATGGTAATTACCAAGAAGGATATACCCAAGGAAACGGAAATAGGAGGGCCTAAGGGGGCCTCGGCTTTAGCCCCCTCATAACAAGTAGAATTCGGACCGGTTTTGCTCAAGATTATATGGACTCCATGATTATACCATAAACAGGCATCTCTTAGTCTTTGCTATGCTACCATGACATGCTATTTACCTCACTACCTTTAGGCAGAACCCTAGCGCCGATTACGGCTAGGGTTGATACCAATCAAAGCTAATTTCGCATTATAGGGCTCGTCTGAACACTAATCGAAGCTCGTCTAACCAAGAGTCGAGTTTTGGTAGGTAGGCATGGTTGGTAATATTCCAAAAGAATTGGTGATTAAATTAGCCTATTTGAACTTCTTGTGGTTAGGTTCAAGGGAGGGGGAATTTTGAAAGAGAAATGCCGTACTAAGTACCATATAGAAGAAGAAAGCCCATCATCAGGCTGAAGAGTGCGATGGCCTCTGTCAGGGCGAATCCTAAAATGGCCGTGGAAAATAGCTGACCTCTTAGGGAAGGGTTTCTTGCAGTAGCACTAATAAGCGCCCCGAATATGACCCCTATCCCTACACCAGCTCCTGCCATTGCAATCGTAGCTAACCCCGCAGCAATTAGTTTAGCGCTTCCTATCAATTGATTGAAATGGGAGATTCTAAGGTGGCCGATGACCCTATCTCAACCCTTCTAACATAATGAATGAATCAAACTGATGGGAATGATTTAGACTCTTGCGAGTAGATAGGTACGACAGTACCTGATTACGACCCCTCCGTACCACCTCCTCTTCGATTCGGTTGAAAGTAGGCATCCTTACACTTAATTCAGACCCTTTCTATAGCGATAAAAGCAGGCTTCTTCCTTTAGAAGCCAAGGAAGGTAAAGAAGCAGCTGAAAGTAGGATGGTGCAACTTCCAGCTTCCCCGGGGGGGCTAAAGCCCCCCGGCCGCCGGCAAAAAGTAGTCTACTTCCCGGTTACTAAAGACGGTACTTCAAGAGAGCCAACTTCTATCAGAAGTAAGGTAAAACCTTAAAGGATAACCCATAAAACCTTTAGGTTTTAAGTCAAATCATTATTGAGTAAGTTGCCTCTGCAACTAGTGGACACTTCAGGATAGGATGCCAAGGGTAAAATCGAATCATGAAGTAGTTGCCTCTGCAACTAGCGGACGCTACTCAAGAGAGAGACTACTCAAGAGGGAAGTAAGACACAAGATTTGATAAGAATCGAATAAGATAGGAAAAAGACTTGCCTTAAGGCAAGAATAGAAGAAGGGAGTGTTAAGTAGTAGTTTCAGACCTTCGGTGTAAAGTTAATCTTCTTAAGAAGATTCACTTTTGCTGTTCTTAACCAACCCTTACCCTTCTTTCCTCTTACTTAAGAGTGGTAGCTTTCAGCTCCTTCCCCTCTTTGCTTGCACCGAAGCCTACTTTAAGAGGAGGAAGACCAACCCAACGGTAAGATTCAGCAGAAAAGAGTAATGATATTTGGTTAAAGGCTAGTAGCTGCCTTTTTAAGGAGTGGAAGAAGGCTCAAACGAGAGTATCCTCTTGGTTCTCCCCTCTGTGCTTTCCTTTTAGAAGAGATGCAAAGGTAGGAAAGCCTGCTTTCTTTCTTGTGGAAAAGGGTTACTACTCTTAATACCTATTTCCTCTATCTCCCTAATTTTAAGGAAGGCTCTCTAGAAGATAGGGATCTCTTACTAGCTTACTTTACTCCCTATACCTATTTTACTCTTCCCTACCACTACTTACAAGTAACCCTTACCTACAATGAATCACCGGACAAGTGGCCCTTTAGCTTAGTCTGGGCCCTTTAAGGGGCTTCAGATAACCCCGGGCTTTAGGCCCCCCGCCCCTATAACTTCTTATATCTCCCCCCCTTTACTTCCTTTTATAGACTTGTTTTAACCAATCCAGAACCCCAGTTAACTCGATCCGGTGGCCGACAATGAAGTTAATCTAGGGACGATCAATCGGAACCACTACTTGGGTTACCTTATAAGGGTCATTATATTCAGGTACTTGTGAAGGTAATAAAATGGGAGATCCAGGTGCATGGTAGCAAGGGAAGTAACCTGCCCAAGAGTCAAGATAAGGCAGAGGAGCGACTCGAACGCTCATTCAAGGAATTGCAGTCCTACTCATTCACCATTATGTTACCCTGCCTTCAGCTTGGACTCCATTCCCTTCTGAACCATCTTATGGATTGGATACCTCCTTACTCTTACCTTGATCAGTAGTAGATCCACTACCTTTAAGACGTCCTAAAGGGGATAATTAGGGGGGAAATATCAAACTTAGAAGTTGATCAATATTAGGGAATAAGGCAGCGCCGATAGCATCGGTATCAGAGGGGGGGGTAAAGGGGCCTTTAGGCCAGCCCTCTGATTCCATCTAGTTCTTCCTTCTTTCTTTGGTTCAAATCCCCTTTTCTGTCAAACTCTCTTTCTTCTCTTGAATTTGCTTGATTACCTTTCTGAATTTGGCTTACTTTTCCTTTGGTTTGCTTTTCCTTAATTATGTGCTTCTACTTCGGTTATTAACTTCAAATTCCCCCCTTCCTAAAGAGGTAACCAACGGTTTGGGAAAGGGAACAAGAAGGGAAAGGGTTAGCTGCTTTATAGAAGGCTGCCACAGAAAGGCTCCCGACAGTTAAACGCAGGTATGGAGGTAATGAGACTTGAACTCATAATACAAGGTTGCAAACCCTGCGTAATACCTGTTTTACTATACCCCCGAATTCACAAGTAACAGGGAGGTCTACTTGGCTTAAGACACCTCTCTTGCCTCTTGCTACCATGCCTCATACCTGCTAACCTTCCCTTGTAAATAGCTTAACTACCAAGCTGTGAAGCTTCAGTAATAAGAACATAGCTTAACTAGGCTTCAAAGCCAAGAAAGAAGGATACTTCTAATATAAGGATTTATATCCTTATATTAGGTTCATATGAGTTAATACACATTAAATAGTTCGGACATCCCCCCCTTGCTAGCAAGCCTAATTTGGACTTCAGTAAATTGAAGGGAAGGGAAGGGAAGGGCTTACTACCACTGGAGAGAGGAGACTTCTACCTACTAGGTATAACTCTCCTGTAAAGCATAAGGTTCACTTGATAGTGGTAAAATCTCCAGTAGTTGGAGAATCTGTTAATGGTAGTAGGGTAACTACTAGAGTATGGTTACTCCAGACCCCAAGGGTCTAACCCTCTAGGAAATAGTAGCCATCCTAGCCCTGGGTGAAATTTCTCAACAGATACTTAAGCTTACCCACCCATAACTGGCAATTAGGTAGACCCTTACCACTAAAGCCACATAATTGGTGACATTGTTAACCATTATTACTAGCCTGTGGTTAAGCTACTACCTTTACCTCTCTTGCTAGCATGGCTAACTTTACTAGGGCTACGGAGGCCCGGGGCTAAAGCCCCGCCCCCACCTGTAATTAGCATTAGTACCAGGCTTATTCAGCCTGGTACTTCTCTCCCCTTACTAGGTAACTAGAGGAGTCATAGCAACCTGGCAGCACCATTGCAGGTTAAAAGAGAACAATTTCCCCAGCAGGTTAACACGTCAATTCACCCCGGGGCTTTAGCCCCGCCCTCGAGTCAATGGTGATGTTTTACCACTGATGTGGTCTAGCATCAGAGGTTTCTTACTTACCCAATTTCCTGAAGGGTCAAAAGGCTTAGTAAAATACCCAGTAAAGGTTAAAGATTGTTATTGGCTATTTTACCGTAATTTTTCCCAGTCCCGGTTCCACCTAGTTGCTTCTACCTTAACAGAGTTTCCACAGTATAAGGATTTTGATCCCTCCTTGGTTAACCGTTTACCATACCCTCTATTCTAATGGTGGGGTCTTTTCCTTCCTCCTCTATATAGGATAAGCCAGGGGCAATGAAGAATCTTGAAGATTTAAGGTTACCCATCTCCGCATTAACATACTTTAAATCAAAAGGTATTCTGTTACTAGAGATTCTGTAAGCTACGATATCTTTCAATCGACCCTTGATTAGCCTCGCGTTAGCAGTAATCGCAGCTGCAATACTCACGTTAGTGTGCATACCATAACCCTCAGCATTAACCGAATCAGGCACCTGGGAATTTCTTCTATCATAAGTCACAAGTGCCGGGGGTGGCAAACCACCCCCGACTCAAACTTAAGATTCATTGAGATAGAATGGTGAATAGAAATAGCGGTGATATCTTCTACTATCGCGGATTGGTTAAATATGTCCTTCATACCTAATCGGCCATACAAGGAGTTCATTAAGAGCTTAGCCTGGGGCCTAAAGGCGGGCTAAAGCGGGCTTTTCCCGCTTGCTTTGATATGATAAAGAGTCTTAATGTAATCAGTAAAAAGCCCTTCACCTCTCTGGAACTCGATACCCATGGTAATCAGCCTTATGAACCTTGTAACCATATTCCAAGGCAAAGTTTAGTTCCCCTGAGTACCATATCCCTCGGGAAGCCGGGCAAATTAGCCGTTCATTGTGCTTCATAGGGGCGCCCTTAGAGACGGCGCCCAACTTATCCTTTTTGGGCTTATTTCCCATTCTCTGTAGATTACCTTCCTTTTCCTTTCTGGCTTCTTGTCTCAGATAGTCGAATTCTTACTTCGAATCTAACTTCCTATTTCGAAGCATTTAATGAGGTCGTCTATGACTCCTGCTATTGCTTCACTTTCCACAAAATGTCTAACACTAAGCCTAAATCTTCAAAAGTCTCATTCATCAACTATTTCCCTTCTGACGGTGCTGAAGAATTCCTCATACGAGATCGTTATCAGTCCTACTTTCCTCTCTTCTTAAGAGAAATTATCTCAGCTTGAGGCCGCTCTTCTTAACAGTTGTTCAGGTTACTTTATTGGGTTAATAGTTCGTTTTTATCGTGTTCTGAAGCAACTTGTGATTATGACTCTTCTTGTGCAGAAGTTTAGCTATTCCGTCTTGTGCAGAAGTTTCCTTATTTGTAAGGTTGAAGTTGTTTGAATCGCTCTTTTTTCCTTGATAGGAAGGATAATTCTTGTCTTCTATTGTTGGTCCTTGATTTTCTGACTATATTTCTTGCCTATTTGTCTTCTAAGAGATAATTTAACTCTTAACAGTTTTTTAGTCTTGAAAGACCTTTCAAATCTGATATTACATTTAGATGTAATCACTCTATCGTTCCTCTTGATCTTCGAGGCTCTTGGGTAATGACATCTTTTCATGTCCTCTTAAGATTAACGGTGATTGATATCCTCTGATAAAGATGATCATTTTGCCAGTGTCAATTGGAATGACTGCAGCATTGCAGTCTATTTCTGGCATGATTGTAGCTTATCATGATATCCTTCATATGCCTTCTTGTAGATTTGCTTTGATCGTATCTTTACACCGTTCTTTGTGATCATCTTGGTGTAAGTTGCCTCTGGGGGTGAAGTCCGGCTTTAGCCCTGAGTTGGGCTACAAAACCTTTATACTTGTAACAACCGGTCCTAAAGGATGCCTAAACATACTTGGCCTGTACTCAGTTGCCAAAGAAGTCGGGTATTCGTAGACCGTCTTCCTGATAGGTTCATCGATAAAGTATGACTTTACTATCCTGGTAGGTTTATTGCTACCGTAGTAGAGATAGGTATGGTGTAGCCTATTTCGATATCTCAAGATATTGAGTTATGCGTTTGGAGAATGACTATGCTGTCACAATCTGACTGACAGGTGCAATAGGGTAACGTTCTCAGATAAGCCTTTCTGGGTTATGATCGCCTGGAAGTAATGTCGCTACATAGCAAAACACACCCGGTGTCATCTCTTCCTCAGCCTTTCCTGTCTTTGGTAAAGACAAAATCTGTATTCATCAGTCCTCTTGCATTCCGTCTCTTTGA